GGTTTATATTTTATCCATAGCCATGTGTTCAACTGAGTTATACAAAGTACTTCTTCAACATCTACCTTTCTTTCCTAAAAATTAGCTTGTTTTTGTGAATTCAAATGGCTCAAATAATTGTTATCCATATTTCCTTCCAGATTTTATTTTGTTTTCCATTTAATTCCATTAGGTGGAAGTGTTGGAAATTAACTTTAGCTTGGTATGGTTTATTAATGTTATTTCGATCCACCTTTCACACATTTCTTAAACTCTCTTAGTTATTTTACAATAGAAAAATAAATGTATAACATTATCTTCAATTTCATTACACAACTCACATAAAGAAGCTCATAACCCAATCTCCCTTCTTCCTTTGATTTACATAAGGTTTCTCATTTAATCCAAGTTATCTTCCTATCCTCAAACTCTCGATCCTAAAGAAATGTTCTCTTTATTCTTGTAGCCTTTTACATACACTTTTTGGCATTTTAAAGAGTGATATGTAAAATAAAGGTAAAGTAAAAATAATAAACTTAATTAGACATACTCTACTGGCAAAAAGATAACAATCTACCTTCCCACTTAGATATCTTATTCTTTACTTTTTCCAATACTTCCTACTAAAAATTTTGTTTCCTTAGGTCTAACCAACACTGCCAACCCCTCTACAACTATTAAAAATAAGAAGGGTGTTATTGGGTCTCCTTGTCTCAAACCTCTTTTTAGATGGATTTCCATAGTTGGGCTACCATTTACTAATATCAAAATTGTACAAGATTCCATACATATTTTTATCCATCTAATCTACTTACTACAAAATCCTAGTCTATCTATCGTATAATACATAAAATCCAAACTTACTAAATCATAAGCTTTTTCATAATCTACCTTGACTACTTTTCCTGTATGGGGTCGAGTCACCTAAATCTGCACGCTCTCCTCTACGTCCGTCTGGTCTTCTCGTGATCCTTCCTTTTGTAGGTCGATGTTCGTCCGTCCTGTACGCCTGGGAGGATACCTATTAGAGGTGCTCCGAAGCTTAAGTCAGTAAAGGTTCGATCGGTTGTTTAGGTACTGCAATAAATGCGTAATTAATGAATCTGCCTACCTCTTACCTTTGACTTGTATTTATAGTTTTGGCAATGGGCCTAGAATTAGCAAAGCCTTAATCACGGCCCAATCCAGAGCTCAACCCTCTAATTGGTGCTTTACCTTAATCAGCTCTGCAGACCTACCTGTCATGACCGTCCGGTCTGGGTGCCCGAGTCCTGCCGGTCGCCCCCTGTGTTCTATCTGGAGTAGTCAGGGGGTCATCTGGTACAACTATTATTGTTTTTCTCTCTTTTTTTTCTCCTAATCGCATCTACTACTTCATTAGCTACAAGGATAGAGACTATCATTTATCCCCCTTTAATGAATGTTGATTGAGAAGAGTATGTCACTTTTGAAAGCACTTTCTTCACCCTATTAGTCAACACTTTAGATATTACCTTATAAACATACCTGACCAAAGATATTGGTCAAAAATCATTCAAATCTATTGGATTATTTTTTCTAGGTACAAGTGTAGTGAAAGACACGTTTTATAACCCCTAAGTATTTCCCCATATTTTTGGAACTAGTTCACTACTTGAACAAAATCATGTTTTATGGTCTCCCAATTAATTTTGATAAAATTAAAATTAAAACTACCTGGCCTAACACTCTTTTCACTTCCACATTGATTGGTTCCTTCCCTTATCTTTGTCTCCTCAATTTTACTAATCAAAGTCCTATTATCATAAGGTGTTAGAGATGAGAATTCAATCTTTTTCAGCATGATCTTGTTGTTACAAGAAACACTCGATGCCAAGATATCTTTTACTCTTTCTTTTACCTTATTTTGGTTCCTCGTACCAATTACCTTCTATGTTGACCCCTTTTATCTCATTCTTTTTTCTTTTCCATATAATCTTTGCATGGAAGAATTTAGATTTAATGTCTCTCCCTTTTAACCAACTTGCCCTAGCCTTTTGTTTTAGAATTAAATCTTCTATGGTGTAAATCAGTTTAAGCTTACTAAGTAACTTCACACGCTCAAAGCCTTGAATAATCATCTAAGACACTTTTATCAAGCTTATCTATGTCCTCACTTTGTTTGATCATAATCATTTTATTTATACTTATATTTCCAAAGACATCTCTCTTCCAATATTTTAGATCATTTTTAAACTTCTTCAGTTTTTCTTTGAGAACTATCATAGGATTCCCATATTCTTTGTGTTCCACCTTTGTTTTACCATCTCCTTAAACCCTAGCATTATGTTCCAAACATTTAGTATTAAAAGTGGTAAAAGTGATGAAAGATTGTCAAATAAGTATAAAGTTTCCTATGTGTGAAAGTATTACTCATGTATAACTTAAATTTTATTTGAAAAAGATAATGAAGAGTAACACACTCTTATATTAAGTTGAAACACAGTACAAGAATAAAATTATCATAAAAAAAGTGAACTTTTGTATTTAAAAAAAATAGTAACGTCAAATGAACGTAAAATTTTTATATATGTCAAAGTAAAATGATGGTTTCACACAAGCTTTGAAAAAATACATTCATTTCACACCATGTTTCAATAATTTAATTTATATTCTAGTTTAATGTCTTAATTTCATATTTTATTATTAAATAATTTTAATCATTAGTATTTTAATAATTTCAATATAAAGTATTTATTATTTTGTACATTATTTTAGAAGTTTCATTATTCACTAAGTTATTGTTCAAATTGTGTGGCTTTATATTACAGTTTTCATATTAGTTCTAACACGAGTAGTTAATTGAAAAAATGAGACTTGTTACAGTGATTAATTTATAAGAACCGAAGAAGAATGCATTTTTTATTTTAATTCTTCATTTAACTGACTTAAAAATATTTTTTTTCCCGTTTGTTACGTTAGATAAAGAATTGATAAGTATAAAAAAATTCTCTCCTTTTACAACTATTAATGATTTAAAACGACGTAAAATAATTTTCTTACATCATGTGATTAAGCATTATAAAATAGATAATTTTTTCTGTTATTCTTATTTATGTCAATTTTTAAAATGAGGTGATTTCGTTGAAATAACTGACATAAAAATATTACTTTATACTTGTAATTCAGTAAATTAAGGTGTATATCAATACATGATTTTGTTATATTTCAATAGCAATGACAAATAATATTTATATTTTAATACACTATTTACTATTGGTTAACTAAACTAATCTCTACAAAAAAAAAAATGAATTAATCAATGATAAACTATATATAAAAAATTATTGAATGAACTTTACACTTGTTTTGTTGTAATATAGTAGTTGTACTGAAAAGAAGATCCCTACAAATAACACGTCGCTATAATTTTGAAATATGTCACACTTAATTTGGAGCTACTAAGCATTTTAATTTTCTATTAATGCAAAATGAAGCTCCAAAAACTAGTGAACATTTTAGATGATGCAACGTTTGAGTACCACTAATCTAATCACACGACAAGTGTTGCATCATAACTTTTCAGAATTTATTTCACTTAAAAAAGTTCAAGTCCTAATTAATTTAGACTTTAATTTTAATCTCCCAAAAATATATAGTTTCAGTTCTTTACAATTCGGAGTTTGATTCTAGTCTTAAATATCAATTTATTATTTTAAATGAATGATTAAAAATATCACATCAGAGATAATATCAATTTCAGTATATATATATATATATATATATATATATATATAAATTGTAAAATTGATCTAGAAGTTTACTTTATTAACATGAAATATATATTTTATAATTTCTATTTGTTTTTCTTGTCAACATATTTGAACATTATTCAAATAATTATTGTTTGAACAAAATTAAGGTAGTTGGTTCAACTAGACAGTGGGAACAAGTTATTATATTTGTTAAGCCTTCAAAGTCATACAAAAATTTATTGCTTGTCTTTTTAAAGAAACAACAAAATCAACCTTTTAGCTAAGACTTAAATATAAACAAATTCTACGTACTTTGGCTTACAATTTTAAAAATATCATCCGATTAAATGAGATGTTATTTCAAATAAATTTATTTTATACTTGATCTCAAGTTTCAATTTAAAAAAAAATGAAATTAATAGTTAAATGATTTTAACCAGCTTTCTCTCGAACTATTATTTTTTCTTGTATTTAAGTTGAAATATCTAATTGAACAATACTTTTAAGTTGATTGGACTTTTTATTATAATTCAGAATTTCATTATTCTCACTTCTTATTTAATGATTACTTTCGAAAATATTTATGGGAAAACACATTTTTATGCACTTTTATTGGTATTCACTCTTTTGAACACATTTCTTCTCAAATTTTATAGGTTAAAATTTAGAATGTTCAATAATGTTTAGCGCAGAATAAAGAGCATGCTAGAAAGAAAGTATATAATAATTGTTTGATTTGTTTTTTTTTTTAAATATCAATGTAATGAAAGAGTGATTACATTTATAAGTGACTTCTTAGAATGACTAAGTTACAAGTATTATGTTATCTTTCAGCTAGTATTGCTTGATTATAATTATATTAGAATTTTAATCAATTTTGTAAATAGTGCTAAATAACCCACTTTAATAAATTAAAAAGATAATCTGATCCGATCCATTTAATAAAACAAAACCTATTTTAGTGTATTATTATTTTGTAAGGTTACATGTCCAATCCATACGTTAAAGAAAATAAAAATTCCAAAACGAATTTAAAATATACTTTTGAAGTTTTTTTAAAAGGTAAACCAGTTATAAAAATATTTGTCAAAAGAATAAAGATTAAAATAGACGTAAGAACAGGACCAGAATTGGACGCAAATTGTGAACTCTGTTTTTCAAAATACTCAGAAAAGAAAGCAAATTTTGCAGACAGAAATCAGTATGAGAGTAACATTTTGGATGAAATTAGTTTGTCTGGAACGGTGTAAATTAGAATAGAGAAGGCAAAAACACAAGGAAATTGCAAAGAGGGAATAAAAATGATACGTGGTAACTTATTGTGAATAATAAGCAAACAAAATTTAACAAGTTGACTCATGATGATTGAGGTCCCTTTTTCAAATTCCGTGACTAATCTAGTGGATTAAGGTGAGGAGGGTGACTGGAGACTACAATAGTGCATTGTTATGTACAAACCAAATGCCTAACAAAGAATAGAATTATTGTATTGGCTTTTTGAGAACTCCTTCATCAATTCCCTTAGTTGTAACCTAATGATAAAGGCCAAATTCATTTTAAGGTGAAACACAAAACAAGAAAATTTTCAAGTTCTAATAACAGGACCACTGTAAATCCCTCTCCGAATCACAAAGTCGTCAGGTGGTTGAAATTCTTCCAACCAAGTAACATCAGACACTGTAACTCCATTCAACTGAAGATTGCTGCCTGTAATTCAAATCAATGTTGGCAAACCATATGGCATGGTTAACAAAAACACAATATTTACAGTTAAAACTATCAATCATTTGGGACACAAGATAAATGAACCTGCATAGGATATAAATAAGATCACCTGGAAGGTCTTTCCTCTGTGATTTTCGGAAGTAGGTGCAGTGTCTTCCATGTTCTGAAGAATAAGGTGGAGATAATACATCAAAGATTGCACAGGGAGTCACTGCCTTAAAAGTATGTATGTTTCCTCCAAGGGTAGGATAAAGAACTGTTGTGGGAGTTGGTGCTTTCATCTCGGTATCTTTGACAAGCTTTGCAGCTCTAGCTGCCAAGAACAAATTGGTTGAGGGCAAGAAAATCAAAATTATTAATGATTAATAATCCAACCGATTCCCAAATGGGGTAAAATTTTATGAAAAAGAGAAACATGATAAATAAGACTATAAGGTAATAGCCTTTAATTTTCATAAGCAAAGAAATGAAATAAAGAGTAAGTGCCTGATATCCTGAATCAAACAACTTCGGGGATGTTTGCTTTATGTCATCTTTTATTCCCAAGAATGAGAAAAGATGAATACACATTGTTATGTTTATTAGGAGGTTTTGAAATATATGACTGTGTATGTGTATTGTTGTAAACAGGGGATCAATAGGAAAATAATATCCTCATTATCTCCATATTACAATCTTCTTATTCATTTTAATATATTACTATTTTCTTATTTTAGAGAGTTTGATTGTTACAAATAAAGATGATAAAAATGTAATGTTTGACCATTATCGATAAAATAACTTTTTATTTTCTTACATAGTTCAAATTGGTATCTATTAGGGTAACCAATAGACCCTTGAGGATTTTGATTAAGTGTTGTTAGACAACAAAGTGCAAACATGAATAAGCTTCGTCGCTAAGATTATAGTTTTCAAACAAGTCATGTGAGTCACAAGCGCTCCGTCTAACATACAATATAGCATATTGTGTTCTCTTGCCTTGTATGATAGTAAAACATTAGTCAGACAATAAACACACAGTTAAGTTAATGTTGTACAAAACGAAATTATTTATAAGCTTATTTTGTGTTGCAATGAATGTTTTCATCTTCACCTCTACCGAGAAGATCTCATACAGCTTTTGTCAACATCAAAGTTATCGAGGGACATGCTAAAGTTGTTCTACGCCAACACACATCTTGACATGCCTTATGTCAACTCTGGAAAGGCTATATGTTGTGTATGGCCCAATGTTATACTCCAATTTGGGTGAAAGCTCTATAACCAATAAGTCATGACAACTATTGTGATGTTGCTTAAAAAAGAGATAAGCATTTAATGTTGCATGGAGGACATTTAATGCATTTAAATGAACACTTGAAGCGAAGCTTCTCAATGAGTAGAATAAGATTTGCAACCACTCTTTTCTTAACTCTAAATAAAGCAGTCTTCCAAGATAAAAAAGATACAAGAGAGGGTTGCGGAAACACTATCAGTATTCACACTCAAAGCTTTCCAGGCTATCAATATTCACACTCAAAGCTTTCTACGCCCTAAGCTTCACAAGAACATCGTTTGTGTTTATTTAGCAAACTACAAGACTGCATTAACCTTGAATCCATCCAAAGACGTTATCTTTGTTTAGTAAGCAAAACCTTTAGATCACCCTTTCTTTGTAAAACCCTCTTAGCCAGGAGTGGCTACTATTCCAAATAATACTTGGGTTATTAAGCTAAATGTGAGTATGTTCCAAACAATACTTTAGGTTGTTGGCCAAGAGTGGTTAAGAGTTCAAACAATACTTCGGTTATCCAGCCAAGAGTGGTTGAGTTTCAAATAATTATCTATTGTAATTTCAGTGTTAGTTTGCCTAGTGAAACTTGATCAAGAACTAGACAAAGTTTGTTTTTACAGACAAACCAGTATAAAAATCTCCAACATAAACCCTTCATTATTTTATGCTTAGTTAAATTGCATGTTATTAAAGTTGTACTTACAAAAGAAAGAGAGGTTTTAACAACTAAGTGATTATCGACCACGATAGAGATCAAGATTAGAATTACATGACTATGTCAAATGCTTCACCTAATGAACTAGGCCATGACCACTATATGGAATTCTCTCCCAGGGTGAGGCAAAGAAAACAGTCTTCAAGATGAAGGCAGATAGAAATAGCAAAGGCTGATCTCTGAGCTCTTTTTCTGATTGAATGGATCAGGCCAGTTGAACTAGAAGGGTGAGAAAGAGAAATGTAAAGAAAAAGAGATAGGATGAAATTGATTGATTGTACAGTACAGAGGATGCATAGAACAAATTACAAGTAGGTACTAACTAGACTAAGTAGGGACTACATCCTGGATGGAGTAAGAAACCATTTTATTAACTAACATGGAGTGGAACCCATTAAACTAGGTTGAAAAAGCAAAGAAATAAAAAAAATCTAATTAAAATGGAGACTTGATGTTGCTTGAAATAGACAGAGAGTTGACTGGAACGTTGCTGGAAGTGACAACTCATGGGAAGAGGTAATTAGAGTTGAACGATGTAGGAAGACTAGTAGTTTATGTGTTTCAATCTTTTGTAATAAGTCTTAGATAAACAAAATATGTATAGGACTTAGTTTAGAGAAGTTTCAAAGCACCTTGTACAATGAGTCAAGAAAAGTTCAAAGGTGTCAAAAACTTAGTTTAGAAGTAATTGATGATCCAAAATGATTTCAAAACTTTCGAAAACTCTCTATAATAATCAATTATCTTAAATGATAATCGATTATCAGTGACAAATATGTCTTGATTCTTCAGCTTCTGCAATAAACGATTCTCAATTTTGGATAATCGATTATTAGTGGCAGTTATGGCTTGACTACAAAAATTCTAGACCAAATTTGTGAATGAAGCCTATAAATAGAGGGTTAGGCTTTCATTTGGAAATACAAATGCAAGAAATGAAATACTAAAATTTGAGTATTCAAGAACTCTCTGTGGAAAGGCTTTGAAAAACCTAATGTAGGTAAAGCGAGAACTTTCAATAAGTGTGATCTTGAGTGACTATTGTTGTTGCTAGGAGGTGTTCATTCCTTGTGGATTTCAAGGAAGGTGGTTCTCCATCTCTTGTGGGATTCAGAGAGGTGTCTCCATCTGGGACTCAAAGGAGGTGTTCATCCCTTGTGGATTTCAAGGGAGGTGATTTTTATCTCGTGGCTCCAAGAGAGGTGTTTTCTAAACCTTAACTTTATTCTTTGTAATTGTAAGTCTTAGTTTATTTTAGTGATTGGTTAATCCCTCTTTTTAAAGATTAAAGACTAGACATAGGTTCTTTTGATCATAACTAGTATAAAAATCACTTCTACAAATCTTTCTTTCCTATACTCTACTTTTCATGTTATTATTTGTAAGCGAGTTTATAAAGAGGGAAAAAATTTTAAAAGCACAAATTTATTAAAGAAACCAATTCACCTTCTCTTGGTTTTTGTCCAAATGCAGTTGTGCGACTCTAACAACTATGGCCTCAACTACTTGTGAATTTCTTAGGCTTAAGCAATTATTATGGAGTTACAATTTAGATTCACTCAAATGACACTTATATGTGACAATCAGGTAGCTCTTTTTATATCAGTTCTAATCATGTATTTCATAAAACAACCAAACACATTGGGATTGACTGTCATTTCATTCGAGAAAAGATTGTATCTGGAGACATCAAAACTGAGTTCGTTAACTCAAAATAATCAGTTAGCAGATATTTTCACTAAGTCTTTAAAGGACCGAGAATTGATTATATTTATAACAAGTTTAGTACATACGATTTATATGCATCAGCTTGACGAGAAGTGTACGATATATTGCATTTTATGTTAATTAGGGAAACATAAACTTTTGCTATTGTTTGATATTGGTAGATATTATTGATATTGTTTTTAACAATATCTTTTATTTACCATATTTATGTTTAATTGCCATATATACTTGTATGATTCTTCATATAAATACATTACCCTATGTGTGTTTTACACAAGAAAGACTAATCCTATACCTAGTTTTACTATATTCAATACTGATGATAGCTTGTAAGATAGCCCAGGTGCAAGGGGCCCTTTATATTTTGGATTGGCAACAGCTAAGCATATCAAAACTTTTAATTCAAGCTTGAATCTGTCAAATCTTTTTGGCTTTTAAAATTGAACCATGCATTTGGTCATATCATAGTAAAACACAGAAAAAAGAAAATATTCTCTCTAATAAAGGTTGGATGGTGAAGCAATGACGCTTCTTTATGTTCATTCAGTCATGCCAGTAGAGATGTTGCATGTAATAAGATGTGCAGCATTGAGGGTTCCGAAAATAATGAGAAGGTTGTTCACATGGTTCACATGCAGTCATGCCTCCAGATTTTTAGAATTAGAATTTAGTTTTCCTCAATTAGAATACATACTTTACTTTGTAATAACATGTACTTCATGACAAGATCCCAATAGTTCCCACAAGGAACATTATCTCAATCCAAAATCGCACAAACTCACCGGTCTAAATTTGAATAGAATATTCTTAGGCTTCGGTTACAGATATAAGGTTTCACACTGACCCCAATAACACATTGATCACTAAATTTGGGCATATAAGTATATAAGACAAACTCAATCACATCTTTGCTAATAAAGAAACCTTAGGATGAAGTACTCTACCAGACAAAGAAAACCTAAAATCCATGCCTTGAGATTGCTAAATGTGGGTATGAAGACAGACAAACCACAATTCTCTTGAAAAGTTCAGTGATAACAGAACTAAAGTTTACGTTACACTAGCCCAATAAGAAAGCATAAATCCATGCTTGTAAGATGGGAATTCTTCTGTTATTCCATGTTCAGTTCATTAGCTTTATTTTTGCATGATGGGAAATGCCTTCTGTCACCAGCGAGAAATAGGTCGAGAATCCAACAACTAACAAAGAATTTTCCCCTTTTTGACTCCCATTATCCACTTCTTATCATTTACCAAATTCAATCTGCCAGTTTATAATTTCTAGACAATTTTAGCTCTGCTATCATATGTTTTTAATAGTTTAGTTTTAAATGAGACCAAGCACTAACATTAACAAGTTATATATTATCTGTTGACTTTTAAAACACAGGTCCTGGCTTTTTTCCTTTCAGTTTGATGAGAGCACAAACTCTTTTGGAGGATGATGACATGGTACCATATTGTCCTACCTCACTAATGATGATGCCATGACAGAACAAAAACATAGAAGGTAGTAACACATTCAATACTTGATGTATTCACAGGCAGGTACACTGGACAAAAAACTGTGTTGCAAAAAAAATAATATGTAAAGCCATAAAGAACAAACCTTCAGATGGATCAGTTGGACCAGGGAAATCAATCCAATCATAGGATTGAACATGCACTGAACCATATATGAGCTTGCTTAAGACTGTCATTCCAGGATGATTATGGAGAGGAATAACAGAAGAAGGGGGCATACAAAAAATTCCTATCTGATGAAGATTAAAAATATTAATCAAAATTTTGTAGCTATGCTCAAGAAATAGTGTATAAAAATTGCTGACTAAATGGTGGAGTTCTGAGAATTAAAACTAACAGAGAAGCTGTCATCTTCATACAAATGCAGGTATTTGATCGGTGGTGACTGTTGATGGTTCCCATTACATTCAGGCGACCAATTACGAACCACTTGTGCCTCCTGTTCAAGACCTACATCAGATGGCTTGATTTTTTCTGAAACATTAAATTAATGGTTATTAAAAAAATCTTAGTTAGACGGCAAAACTATAATGTAGCAAGATATGTAGAAACCCAAAAGGGAACAAAATGTGCGATACAAATTTGTGTGATATATGACTGTATTTTAAAAGACCCAGAACCGAACCAAAGATCAGAGAAAGACAATTGAAATGTTACACTAGTATTCACAGTTATAAAAGCACACTTGAACAGCCCCTAGAGCAGATTATATAATTACAATCTCTAACATTAAGTACGAGTCACAATCACATGCTTGCAAAGATTTTCGGTTAGGGTCAAAATCAGGTCACAACGTCACACTAAGATAGTGCAGTCTGGATATATTGGATCTATTATCTATCTTTTAAAGCACCTGGTTGATTGTTGAGATATAACAATGGATACCAGCAGCTAGCGTAACAAGATGAGCAGTAAAAAATCATATTTCAAAAGGTAGAAATCTTTTACTGTGCATTACCATACTGATAAGCAAGAATATTAAATTAATAAATGACAAATAGAAATCTAGTTAACAGCAGAAACTTCAAAACAAAATTAATCCTTTTTGTTCACTCTCACAATCCTTAATGCAGTAAATTAGATCTTAGAATTCTTAAATGTGTATTTATTGATTATCTCCTTCATTAAAAAGGTTACAAATGTTATCACCCTAAGAGTTGTTGTGTCTTTATCACATGAGTGTGACCTTTCATGAAACAAAAAATTGTTTTTCTCACCCTAAGAGTTGTTTTTATCACATTGAACTTAAGCCGTGACAGAGGAGATGAATGCATTAGTAAGAAACTCAACATGGGAGCTTGTTGACAAACCAAAGGACAAAAAGGCCATAGGATGCAAATGGATATTTACACTGAAACTTAAGATAAATGGGTCACTAGATAGGTATAAAGCTAGACTGGTTGCAAAGGGGTACACTCAAACTTATGGAATTGACCATGAGAAGAAATTTTCTTCTACAGCAAAGATGAATACAATTCAAGTAGTTCCTGCTCTAACAACTCATTCTGAATGAGATTTGCACTAGTTGGATGTTAAAAGTGTTTTTCTTTATGGAGCTTTAGAAGAAGAATTGTACATGAAAATTCTTCTCAAATTTTAAACTCTCAATGGAAGAAACAATCTCCAAGAGTATGGTTTGGGAGATTTAAAAAAAAACATTAGTTTCCTCAGAATATAAGTAAAGCCAACGTTATCATACTTTATTCATAAAGCACTCTGTTATAGGTAAACATACACTATTGTTGGTATTGCAAAAGATGATGAACAAAGAGATTGGCTTTAAAGGAAACATTGGCAGCCCTTGTACTTGCTCTCCTCAAAGAAACAAGCAGGGATGTAGAATCTCAGAATTTCCTATTGAGCAAAATCATAGAATTGGAAGTGAAGAGAGTTCTCTTTTGGAAAAAACTCAATATCATGCAGTTACAGTGGTAGGTCAGTTTATGCATGATATGATAGAAAGCCACGAGCAAGCCAAGCCTAGGAAAAAGGCTGCTCTTCAGGATTGAAGACACTTTGATCCTACTGATGCAGACTACGTAGGTTTTGTTGTTGACAAAAAATATCTACGTATGGGTACTATATGTATCTGGGAGAAAGCCAACTTACTTGGAGAAGCAAAAAACATGACAGAATATCTCATTTTAGTGTAGAATGTGAATTTTAAGATCCTGCTCAAGGTGTGGGAAGGAGTTTGGATCAAAATCACACTTGATGACATTAAAATAAAGGTCGACAATTGTACTCTCATAACAAGTCAGCATAATTCAGTCCAACGTACTAAAACCCAACATTTGAAATTGACAAACACATAACATATATTTTCACTCAAGGGATTTTTCAAGACAAATTCCAAGATATTGTAGACAAGATGGAAATGATTGATATTCATGCACCAACTTAAGACAGAGTGTTGTAATCAATAGATTATTAAGATAAAAAGAATTCAATATCTCCACAGTTAGGAAAAAGTACATCAGACTCTTCCTATTCATTTGAATATATTTTTATTTCCTTATTTTAAAGATTTTGATTATTACAAATAGAGAGGTGAGAAAGTAATTGGCCTCATTGCTACCAATAAAATAATTTTTTATTTTCTTATATAGTTCAAGTAATACAAAATATACATGCATACACACACATATATATATATATAGAGGGAGAGAGAGGTAACTGACAGGCAAAATCCAACAACATACCTAACTTCTCGCGAACTTTTGTAACAGCCTCTTCAGAGACAGGTCCATCTGGCGAAAAGGAAGCCTTGCACAACCTATAAAGTCTTTGTATATAATATGGCATCTTGTAAAGGTGTGATCGATTAGTCTACTGATAACACCTTGCAAGGAGCTTAAAGATTGCAATAGGGACTGGATATACAATTGGATAATAACTGTATTTTAGTCTCAAACCAACGGTAATGAATCTGAATAGCTGCAGATGATCCCTCACAGCAAATCTAATTACGGGCCTACTGAACAACAAAAGAGCCACACCACAGCCAAAAATAAATGAGTTTCGCTTCATAGACATCACAACAAGTCTAATAGCAATTAGGGCAGCATATGATTCATCCAAAAACACTGAGATTCAATAGTATTATGCTCTATGGTCTCCCCAAATAAATATCAAAAGAAGCTAAAACCTCCATTTTTCTCATACAAATCAAAAAACCCACAAGCTTTGCACAGACTAAAAAACAAAACCCTACATTATTTCTTCATTTCCACTCATCAAAACAGCACTTCACAATCGAATGCGACGTTTGAATAATAAAACGCCCATCTTTTCCATAGCATACACTGTTAAATGAGGGGAATCTTTGGCAGAACAGTGAACCAAAAATGGAAAATTAGAGAGCGACCCAATAACAAATATGAGATGAAAAGGCATAAAAAATAAGTCTTGGACGAGAACCACAAATGGAGCACCAGATTCCGATTATAGAAACGGGGAAAAAAGCAACAACAAAAAAACATGGATAGAAGTTGCAGAAAGGGAAGCGAACCTGGGAAAACCATGGAGAAGAAGGTTTAGGGGTAGTGTACAGAAGCGGATGAAGAATGAGGAAGTTGAAGTATGGAAGAATGGGTACAAAAGAAAGTAAATAAACGATGAAGGGAAAAGAGTTAAAGAAGGTTAAAAAATGAAGAAACGCGATTAATTAAAGATGCCCAAGGAAGATCTTCAACACGTCATCATCACGCACTGTTTTTTATTTATTTTTCGTTTTTAATTTCGTGGTCAAGCAATCGCAGTTTTTAAACTAATGTTTTACAAAACATGAAGATTTTTTTGTTTTTTTAGACAAAAGAAAGTGTTAAAATTAGAATTTAAACTAATGTTTACAAAACATGAAGTTTTTTTTTAAGGACAAAAGAAAGTGTTAATTAGAAAAACCTCGCTGTATTACTACCAAAACACTCATAACATCCAAGAAAAAAACTACATAAAAAATTACTGTATGTAGTTTTGCTTAGTCACACTTTCTCAACACAATATTGAGATTTAGAACATCTCTAGTAATGTAATCTATTTTGGGTTCTTAATGCAAATTTGTGTGGTCCCTCTTACATAAATTTTCTTTTCTTTTTGTCCTAATAAAAATAACCTAAATTGGATTTTTATTTTTGTTGGTCCCTTCATTTTCTTGATTAAGAACATCTTTAACTATTTATTCTTTAAGAATTGAGTATAAAAGACTAAGAACATTTAAGAACCATTATTGGAGAAGATTTTAAAAGAATCTCTAGAATGGTTTATTTTCGATTCAGATTTTAGTTCATAAAAATATCAAATTACTATTTTTTATTCATATATGAAGTTAAAGTTTTGAAAAAAAAATATTATATATTGGATCGTTTTGCTTTAATTGAAGTATAATGTCTTGATTTAGAAGTGTTTGGTGGTTGTAATTTGATTAAACTTTTTATTAAAAATGCATATAAATTAAATATAAAAAATGTACATGGTTTCATTTGATTTAGTTTGAAATAGGAGAAAAATTCAACCAAAACAAATTAATTTAGTTTTTTTGTGATTTTTAAATTTTAATGTTAAGTTTTTTTATGGGTCAAATATATTTTTGATAATAAAGTTATATTTTGTTTCCTTTTATATTTTATAAAGATATATAAAAGGTCTTTGATCACAAATGGCTACTAACAATATTAGAGTCATTTTTCTCTCTATAAACTCTTTTCATTTCAATGGCTTGAACACTAAAGATAAAACGATTTCATAATATATATAAATGGGTACAAATCTTATCTTACAAGTTGATTTTATAAGGTTGAGACTTAAAGCTTACCTTTTAAGATTATATCATAGCCATACTTTTTCATTCCAACCTACCTATTATTTAATGGGGTCTTGTTGTATATTTTAGATGTCACTAAAGCCTTACTTTTTCAATGCAATCTACCAACCACATTTTGGTGTTTTGTTGCACATGTTTTTCTATCAATTGCATTTTTAGACCATTACTTACTAATATGACACCTTATGAAAAACATTAAAATAAACTTTGTGATATTTATCTTTTATGTGTGTTTGGTTGCTCTTGCTACTCTACCACTCCCACTTTGCACAAATTTTTTTTTTGACAATCATGTTGTTCTTCGCATCTTCCTTGGTTTTAAGCCTCACACAAAAAGTTACCTTTTTCTCAATCTTAAAAATCACAACATTCATGTTTCTAAAAACACTATTTTTATGGAAATCATTTTCCATATCATTATAATCTCACTCAACATGAAGATGAAAACAATTTGTCTTTACCTATACCTCACAATTATACTCAAACATGTGATGATATTGTTCCTATTAGTATTACTGTTGCTAATAATATTGTTGTCCCACCTATTGCTGTCAAAAACCTCACAAAGATTGTCGATCCTACACCCTGACATCCCACTCACCTTAGAAGACAATTTGCATATCTTGATGACTTCTAAGTCACTATCATCATTCATAACACAATTGTAGGAATTAGTATCGCGCATCGGAATGTTTAAAAGGTGTGTTCAAACACAAACCAAGAGGGGAGGGGTGAATTGGTTCTATTAAAAATTTAGTTTTTCCTTTACAAATTTCTTCGAAGAGAATAAAGTAAAGTAAAGAAAGGATGCAAAGATTTACACAAGCAATTTTTATATTAGTTCGAATCAAAAGATTTTACGTTCAATTGTTAATCATTCTAAAAGAAGTTATTAACATTTCACTAAAAATAGTTTAATGATAAACTATTGAGATTGTTGATAGGAAGAGCACTAATTTAGCTGAATCCACAATCTCAGTGATATATGAGTTTTTGATGATGACAACACATAATTAATAACACACATGTATTTAGTGTTACATGTTTTATGCTTACATGTTATATGCGTTTTTTAGAACATGATTGTGTTGTTTGTGTTGTTCATTGCATTTCATTGTGTTATATATGTGATTTTATACATGAATGCATGACACATGTTTTTTGAAAAGAAAAACCACAAGCACTTTTGTTGAACTTAAATTGTGTGGCAAAACAACAGTTTTAAGTCGATTTCATTATGGGGTGAGTCGATTAAAACCCGTGTATTTGCACAAACTTTTTCAAGTGTGTTGTGAGAGTTTTTCAAAGAGAAAACTTTTCAAAACTGTTTTACTCTGTTATAAAGTCGATTACATTTGTGATGCATTCGGTTGAGTTTGTTATGTTTTGAACAACTCTTAATGCTTGATATAAGTGTCACAATGACTATATTTTTAAATATGTTGACCAAACATTAAATGAAAATCGAATGCATTAATTGTACATTCAATTAACTACATTGATTGCTGCAAACTACAATAACAGAATTGCTATATTCGACTACATTAGTAGCTTAGTCGATTAAAATGCGTCAGAGTTGTGTTTATCAATAAATTGACGGGAATTTCATTTTTGTAAGAACTTTTGTGAATCTAACAATTTGTGATATTTTTTCAGAAAGTGCATTCTTACAGAAAGAGAGAAAGAGCTCCAAGAAACAAGAAGTGATCGTGGTGATCATCTACTTGTGGATTCTTGAGAAACAAGTTAACTGCATGTACAAAGGCTGATCATATCTGCACATTGGGTGTAACTAAGAGATCAGAGGCTACAATCTTGTGAAGATTGGATTAAGGTTCCCTGTTGTGATTACAAGAAGAAGAGCGTGGTGCGTTCTTGACTTTGAGGGTGACTCAAAAGGTTTGGACTGTAGGAGAGGAGATTCTTGTTGTTAGTCTGTTTGTATGCTACCTATATTTTGATTAGAGGGTTAGAGAGGTGTTTTATATTTTTGACGTGAGGTCTCTATAAAATCCTTGTTGTAAAAACCTTGATCATTATATTGCATTTGCTTCCTGTGGTTGGAAGGACACTAGATGTAGGCTTGGCCGAACTAGTATAAAAACTCAGTGTTTGATCTTTCTATCCCTACACTTTTTTATTCAGTCAACTTCTTACTGTACTGAATCGATTTAATTTCTGCTGCATAAACAAGTCTTTTACCTTGCGTTTCAAGAAATTCATAAAGGCATCATTTTTGGTGAAAAAGATTTTGAAAGTTTTAAATTTTATACTTCACCAATTCAAACCCCCCCCCCCTTCTTAGTGTAAGAAATAGAGTCATTCTTTTTTTAACAATTGGCACTAGAGCTGGTTTTCATAAAATATTTGGAAAACTAGTCGATTATTGTTTTCATTAAATCGACTGATCTTGGAAAATGGCTTTCAATTTTCAAACCTTTGGTGAAGGTGCATCCACAAATAGACCATCACTATTTGCTGGAGAAAACTGCTTTTTGGAAAATCAGGATGCAAATCTTTCTTGAATCCGTGGATAAAGGAGTTTGGGATGCAACTCTAAAAGGTCCATATGAACCCACTCAAATTGTGAATGGAAAAATTGTTTTGAAAAACTTTTTTGAGAGGACTCATTTCTGAGTAGAAAAATTGTTTTGAAAAATAGTAGAGCATAATATGATGTTAAGGCTAGGAATATAATAGCTTATGCACTAACAATGGATAAATTTTTTAGGATATCACAATGCAAGATTGCCAAGGAAATGTGGGAGGTTCTTGAGGTTACGCATGAAGGAACGGATGAAGTAAAAAGGGCTAGAAAGAACTCTCTTATACAAGAGTATGAGTTGTTCAGAATGAAAGCAGGAGAGACGATTTATGAGGTACATAAACGATTCACATACATAGCCAATCACCTCATGGATCTTGGGAAAGTGTTTAATAAGAAATCAACATAAAGATCTTGAAAAACCTCAATAGAAGTTGGCAATCGAAAGTCACTACTATATCTGAATCAAGAGACTTGACCAGCATGAACATGGCTACATTGTTTGGAAAACTCAGAGAACATGAATTAGAGCTTGGAAGGCTAAAGGAGGAAGAAGAAATTGAAGAGAAGAAATCAATTGCTTTAAAGGCCACAAGCAAGAAAGCTACAAAGATTCATGAACTTGGAACTGAATTAGATGCAGATATACCAGAAAAGGAAATGATGAATATGATAGTAAGAAAATTTAACAGATTCATGAAAAATAAAAATTTTGCAACTAACAATGCAAGTTTCTCAAGAGGAGGAAAGAAGAGCTCAAGAAGCAACGTTGTTCAATGCTATGAATGTGGAAAGGATGGTCATATCAAGCCTGACTATCCAGACTTGAAGAACAAGCAGAAAGAATTCTCCAAGTATCCTCAGGACAAGAACAAGAAGCAGAGGAAAGCTTATATTGCCTGGGAAATAGTGATGAAGACTCTTCGAGTGATGATGACAATAATGTTGAAGAGGAGTCAAACTTATGCTTTATTGGGCTTTGCACAATCTGATGATAATAGTGATTGTGAATTGGAAAATGAACTAATAGAAGTCAAGTACTACATGCTACTGGATGCATTTCAGGAAATTCATGCAGAGGCCATGCGACTTCAGTATAACGTCAATCGATTATCATCTGAGAAAAGAGATTATGAATAACGAATTGATAATCTTGTTCAGGATAATGAAAAGCTTGAAAAAGATCTTAAAGAAGCTCTAAAATCTGCAAAGACAGTAAAGACCAAAGTACAAGTTGTTGAGAAAGAATGTGGTAATTGTCCTCTACATGTTGAGAAAATTGA